GAATCACCATGGTTGTTGGTAAAGGTGCCGAATTTAGCGCACTGCTCACCTTTTGCTCTGACGATTTAACCTTATAATCGGTTACATTGTCGGCCGTTAATGTTGATGCAGCCATAGCAGAGAGCTCACTCGAGATATTTTCGAGTCCCTTAGATGACATTAAAATACTAGACGACACGACGGTGTGTTCAACTGATGCAACGGGCTCGTCATCTAAAGCGGCTAAAGCATCTTTGGTGGCAACAATGGTTCCTAATAGGGCTGGAGATATCCCATCAATCGGCGCCAACGCTGTTTTTGTCTCCGCGTTTGACACAGGCAGATTGAGGTCTAATGTAAAAAGTGTATCCCCCTGTTTGACTTGATCACCCACTTTAATTAAAACAGCGACAATTTGCCCCGCTTGCTCAGCAGGCACATCCATACTGGCTTTGTCACTTTCTAAGGTCACCAAAACATCATTGATTTTAACGAGTTGACCTTCTTTGACCCAAACATCAATAATGGCAACCGCGTCATCGGTACCAATATCGGGAACTTTAATATTTACTTGCGTCATTTAAACACCTAATGGTAAACGTGATCGTTGAAATTATTGATAAAGCGGGAAAGCTTTATCAATATCGATTTGATATTGATCAATAGCTTGAGCAACCACTTGGCGTTCAATTTTGCCTTCGTCAGCCAATGCTTTTAAGCTCGCCAACACCACCCAATAACGATCCACCTCAAAATGACTCCGTAAACGTTCACGTACATCAGAACGACCGAAACCGTCGGTTCCCAAAACATGGTAATTGCCTTTCACCCAAGGACGAATTTGTTCAGCAAAAGCTCGAACATAATCCGTTGCCGCAATCACGGGGCCTGCACTAGTGGCTAAACAAATTTCAACATGTGAACGTTGTGGGGTTTCCAGTGGATGTAACATATTAAAACGTTCCATAGCTTGTCCTTCTCTGGCCAACTCTGTAAAACTTGGGCAACTCCACAAAATGCTCGATATACCCCACTCACTGGCTAACAACCTTGCCCCTTCAATCACCTCAAGCAAAATTGTCCCCGAGCCCAGCAAATTCACCTGTAAGGTTGAGTTTGCAGCGTGAACTTCTTTCAAGCGGTACATCCCTTTGAGAATATCGGCCTCTTTACCTTCTAGCATCGCAGGGTGGGCGTAGTTTTCATTCATCACCGTCACATAATAGAACACATCTTCTTGCTTGGTAACCATCCGTTCTAGACCGTGCTGCACAATGACGGCTAACTCATAGGCAAAGGTTGGGTCATAACTGACACAATTAGGAATGGTTGCAGACCATAAATGGGAATGTCCATCTTCATGTTGTAAACCCTCACCATTGAGGGTCGTTCGTCCTGACGTCCCCCCTAATATAAAACCACGCGAACGCGAATCTCCTGCGGCCCAAATTAAATCGCCAACCCTTTGAAAACCAAACATGGAATACAAAATCAAAAAAGGAATCATCTGGATGTTATGAGTCGAATAAGCAGTTGCCGCAGCAATCCAATCGCATAATGCCCCCGCCTCATTGATCCCTTCTTGTAAAATTTGTCCCGATTTATCTTCTCGATAAAACATCAATTCATCATGATCTTCAGGGGTATATAATTGCCCGACTTGGCTCCATATGCCTAATTGGCGAAACATGCCTTCCATACCAAAGGTGCGTGACTCATCGGGCACTATCGGTACAATACGCTTACCGATCGTCGCATCACGCAATAAGATATTGAGTATGCGTACAAAAGCCATGGTGGTTGAAATTTCACGTCCTTCTGGAGTCGCCTCCAAAAGTGCAGAAAAACTCGACAAAGCCGGTACGGGGAGCGATTCGTCTGATTTTTCACGACGTTGCGGCAAGAACCCCCCCAGTTTTTCACGGTTTTCGTGCATAAACTGATATTCAGGGCTCCCAGGTTCAAACTTAACAAAAGGGAGGCTTTCGAGCATTTCGTCCGGAACAGGAATTCTGAAATGGTTGCGAAAAGCGCGAATATCTTCTAAAGCCAATTTTTTCGTTTGGTGCGCGGTGTTTTGCGCCGCACCCGATGCCCCCATCGAATACCCCTTAACCGTTTTGGCCAAAATCACCGTCGGCTGCCCCTTGTGATGTACGGCTTCGTGGTAAGCTGCAAAAACCTTGTACGGGTCATGCCCTCCCCGATTGAGATTCCATAAATCTTCATCACTATAATCGGCCACCAACTCTGCTAACTCTGGCGTATTAAACAAGTGTTGCCGGATATACGCCCCATCCTTAGATTTGTAGGTTTGGTATTCGCCATCCACCACTTCCATTAACCGCTTCATTAATAAGCCTTTTTTATCGCGCGCAAACAGTGGATCCCAATGACGCCCCCAGATCACTTTAATCACATTCCAGCCCGACCCACGAAACTCAGATTCAAGTTCTTGAATAATTTTACCATTTCCACGTACAGGGCCATCTAAGCGTTGTAAATTGCAGTTAATCACAAAAATCAAATTATCTAAACCTTCGCGCCCTGCCATGCCAATCGCCCCTAAACTTTCGGGCTCATCGGTTTCACCGTCCCCCATAAAACACCAGACATGGCGGCTGTCATGCCGTCCCAAGCCGCGATCTTGCATATAACGCATAAAACGAGCTTGATAAATGGCTTGGATCGGACCTAACCCCATCGAAACGGTTGGAAACTGCCAAAAATGAGGCATTAACCAAGGGTGAGGATAAGAAGATATGCCTTGCCGACCGACTTCTCTTCTAAAATTCACAATTTGTGCTTCAGAGATTTGCCCCATTAAAAAAGCACGTGAATAAATACCGGGAGCCGAATGCCCTTGATAAAAAATCAGATCCCCGCCATGCTCTGCTGAAGGGGCGTGCCAAAAATGATTAAAGCCCACTTCGTATAGCGTCGCAGCCGATGCGTAAGACGCAATATGCCCTCCCACGTTACTGTTGTAATTGGCTCGCACCACCATCGCCATCGCATTCCAACGCACAAAAGAACGCACCCGATGTTCTAACTCAAAATTGCCGGGAAACTTCGCTTGTTTACCCACTGGAATGGTGTTGATATAGGGTGTAGCAGCACTAAAAGGCTGATCCACCCCACTGATTCTGGCATATTCAATGAGCTTATCAATCAGATGAACAACCCGTTCTTCGCCTTGACTGGCCAAAACCCCTTCTAATGCCTCAAGCCACTCAAGGGTTTCGGCAGGATCGGTATTGGGTTCGTTGGAATTATTTAAAATTTGAGCGGGGGTGGTGCTCATAGGTCTCTCCTGAAAATATAATCGGATAGGTCTTCACGATCAAAAATCTGCCTTAACTTTTGCTCAGGGTTGCGGCAGAATCATATGATAATTTTTCATTGCGTTACAAAAGAAGCCGCATTACTTGTGGTAATCGTTCTTAACGTTATGCTACATTATATTAGCAATTTCTATACCCATGCGCCTAGGCGAAAACGACTATTTTAATCAAAAGCATGGCTTAAACTTGGGTAAGAGCACCGCCTCAGCATGAATTCCATTTATAATCCATATCAAAATCAATACCATCTACCATCTATCACAAAAAGCCATGAAAACGACCCTACAACTATTGCAATCTTTTTTATACGAACACATCCCGCTAACCCAAACCCTCCACATCGAGCTCCTGCGTTTTGATGAGGAGGGTTTGCAAGTTAAGGTTCCGCTCGCGCCCAATGTCAACGACAAAGGAACGGCTTTTGCGGGAAGTTTATCGGCCGCATTGACCATTTCGGGATGGAGCATGGTGCAGCTCTTAGTACAACGCCCCAACGAACCGCTTACCATCGCCCATGGTGTCATTCAGACCAGTACCATCGATTACATTAAACCGGTTGAGCATGATTTTGAAATTCTCTGCTTACCTCCGCGAGCGGGTGAACTCAAAACATTTCAAACCATGCTCACAAAGAAAAAAAAGGGCCGCATACGCATTGATGCCCAAGTCTATGATGCCGAAGGCGTGGCCGTAGAGTTTCGGGGGGTGTATGTCGTGAGTTTATAATGCCTATCACCACAGAGCCCATGAGCCCATGAGCCCATGAGCCAGAAAAAAATTAACCATATGATTTTATTGTTATTATATATACACCTTGGGTACCCGTGGTGCTAAAGCACAAAAAAGCTCATAAGCGATCGTTCCTGACGCCTTAGCAACGGTATCGGCAGCGACTTGTGTCCCCCAAAGTTCTACCGTACTCCCCACACCCGATTGGGGTATAGGCGTTAAATCTACGGTAATCATATCCATGGAAACGCGTCCAACCGTTGTGGTAACAATCCCGTCAATTGCAACAGGCGTGCCTGAAGGCGCGTGTCTTGGATAGCCGTCACCATAGCCACAAGCGACCACCCCAATACGCATGGGCTGCGCAGCGATAAAAGTCGCGCCATACCCCACCGCCTCGCCTTTNTACTCGCAAGAACGCGCTCCAAAATCAATGGAGTCTGACCCCATCGATTATTTATAATTATATCATTAAGATAATCTAATGACTTCCATTAGAAAAAGAGTCTAATGGAAAATCTGGGATAATTGCACTGTCAGGTACAATAGACTTCATTAAATTTCCAGGAGGAATATCGGTGAAGTTGTCAAAATTATTAATTGTGGTGTGTTGTTTTATGACCGTGACGGCTTGTGGCGGTGGTAAAGGTAGTGACAACAATAACGCTGGTGAGGCAACACCCCCCACACCAACGCCCAATACGGTTGCCGAAGCGATTGCCCAAGGCGAAAAATCTGGAGCATTGCCAATACTCAATCGTGATGCCACGGTGGCAGGGGTTGATGCGGATAAAAACGGTATTCGGGATGATATTGATCAATATATTGCGAAGTTACCGGATACGGCAGAGCAAAAAAAGGCATCACAGCAGAGGGCGCGTGCTTTACAGGCTGCTTTATTGGTCGATGTGACCGACAAAGCAGCGATGCGTGATGCCATGAGAAAAATTCTTATGGCGAGTGATTGTTCAGGTACACAATATGCAGACTTTGCGACTAGGAGAGATAGATCTAGGGATATAGAAAAATTTACGGTGAATACCAAAGTGCGTTTTGATTCTTATGAGAAGTTTAATAGTGGGCTCAGTGGCGGCTCTTATCAATTACCTACAGGGGATAATTGTGAAAAATAACAAAAACTTCACCAAATGGAGCGTTGTACTGCTGAGCTTGGTTATGTTGAGCTCAACAACTTTTGCCGTCAATAACGATTTGTGTGTTTCCAAAGGCTATACCTTAGGTTTTTTTTAATGGCGTTTGGAATACATCAGAGCAAGCGGCAGATGGCCTCATTGAACTAAAAACCCTCCGCAGCACAACCTTCAACCAACAACCCATCCAAAAAATAACGGGGTCAGAGATGTTTAAATGTTATTTTCATAAATAATATTAACCAGCTTTGGCCCCGTTATTTATAATTATATCATTAAGTTATTCTAATGACTTCCATTAGAAAAAGAGTCTAATGGAAAATCTGGGGTAATTGCATTGTCAGGTACAATAGACTTCATTAAATTTCTAGGAGGAATATCGGTGAAGTCAACAAAATTATTAATTGTGGTGTGTTGTTTTATGACCGTGACGGCTTGTGGCGGTGGCAAAGGTAATGACAACAATAACAACGCTGGTGGGGTAGCCCCCCCAACACCAACGCCCAACACGGTTGCCGAAGCGATTGCGCAAGGCGAAAAATCTGGTGCACTACCAACACTCAATCGTGACGACACGGTGGCTGGGGTTGATGCGGATAAGAATGGTATTCGGGATGATATTGATCAATATATTGCGAAGTTGCCTGATACGGCAGAGCAAAAAATGGCTTTGCAGCAAAAAGCACGTGCTATACAGGCAACCTTATTGCTGGACGCGACCGACAAGCTAGTGCTGCGAGAGGCGGCAAGAAAAATTAGTGCTGCTAACAGATGTTCTAGCAGTAAATATACCGATCGTCCAGCTTTGCACCAAAGGCGGCGCGACCTAGAGAAGTATACGGTAAACACTAAAGCACGCTTTGATGCATATGAAAAATTTAATTCTGGATTAAGTGGCAGCTCTTATCAATCGCCAACGGGAGATACTTGTGAAAAATAATCAAAGTGTTACAAAATGGAAGGTGGTTTTGCTGAGCTGGATGATGTTGAGTTCCACAACTTTTGCCGCCAATTACGATTTATGTGTTTCACAAGGCTATACATTCGGTTTTTTTAATGGGGTGTGGAATACATACGATCAGGCAGATGATAGTTTAGATGAAATGGAAGTACTCCGCAGCACAACCTTCAACCAACAACCCATCCAATACGAAGTTTTTTATAACCACACTGGCCCCAGTGTGGGGGCAAGTGGTATGCAAGACTTGGCTGAAGTATTTATTCAGCGTGCCAAGGAAATAGATGATAGCGGTCAGCTGGGTATGCGTTTTGAGTATTTTTGGGACAATTTAGTGGGCGATAAAACACTAACCGAAAAGCTTAAAGGCTTGATTCCGAAAAGTGCGGCTCTACTTGACGGTATTTATACGGCATTGACCACAAAATTAGTGGGTTGGATTTCCAGCTGGGTGAGCGATCCGCCGACAGAGAAAAACCACACGGAACATAATACGCGTTTAGATGCTTTAGCGATTCAAGGACAAAAAATGATTTTGGTGGCGCACTCGCAAGGAAACTTATTTGTGAATCAAGCCTACGACCATATTTCCCCTGTGATAGGAGAAGCCAGTGTGGGGGTTGTGCATATCGCCCCTGCATCGCCTACGCTGAGAGGAGAGCATTTATTAGCCGATATTGATTTAGTAATCAATGGGTTGCGCGTAACGGGGATTAATTCTGTTCCGCCCATCAATATCAATCTGCCCTTTGCCAAAGCCGATCCCTCGAGACATACCTTGGTTGGGACTTATCTGGATTCCACACGTGCTGCTCGGGCTAAGATTTTAAGTATGATGGATGTAGCGATGACATCTCTCGTGAGCCCTACCATAAAAGGCAATGTCGGCTCGTTTACTGTGACGCTCACATGGGATGGTACGGGTGATGTCGATTTACATACGTTAGAACCCAATAGCAAAGATGTTTATTTTAGGAGCCGTCAAGGACAATCAGGGTATCTTGATGTAGATAATACGGTTGCGGACGGTCCGGAGCATTATTATGCCACCTGTGATTCATCGCTATTGCAAGCAGGGGTCTACAAGGTAGGTATCGAAAATTACTCGGGAGCCAAAGAGCGTACGGCGGTTGTACAACTGGCAACCTCAACGGGGGGCGTTATTGAAAAC